TATTAGAATTTATAGGGAAATATTCAGGGAAAGGGAAAATGAAAGAGAAGCATAGAGAGGCGTAGAATATCATGGCTGCGCAACCTTAGAGGGTGGTACAGATGTACATCAAATGAACTTTTCAGAGCAGCCGTCTGAATAGTCCGAATAGCTATGATGATTGCCCACCTCCGTCGCGGAGATGACACTTGAAGAAGAAGATAGGCTTAGAGTCTGTTCACTATAATTAAGACAATCGATAAATAAATGGTTCAAATCTCCGATAAATATTTTATTACAACACAGTACATAGTACTGTGACAGTATTACACAGTAAGGACAGTAAGGAGTTTCATAGGTTTTAATCCTATGCAGATGCTCTGGGAAAATGCCATGATTAAGTTTTAGCCGAGTTATCAACGAGAAATGTATGTTATTATAGTTAAAATTAAAAACGAGAATATTTTTTGGTAAGCGTAGATGAATAAAAAATAATGGTTTCTTTAAGTCTGAACCTCATTATATTTTGGCATCTATCTTTCCCTGCCAAGAATTATAAAAATATAAAAAAGATCTTTAAAGTAGTAAACATTTGTAATTTCAAGTACCTACCTATCTTAGATGTATTTTTTGCCATACTAGTTACTAATTCGTTTCCAATTACTCCATTGTATTCTTTAACCCAGAGTAAAGAAACTATTTTTTTTTGGAAATTTTAGTTCATGTAATAAATTTTGATATCAAATTTAATGAAGTTTTAATTTAATAGCTTGTAATACTGTCTAGCAGAGACACACTGGAAAGATCAAGGACATTTTTAAAACACAAAACCACACTATCTACATATCAGGATCTCAAAATACAGGGCATAATGGAGTAGCCATACTTATAAACAACAGAATATCTAAATATGTCAGACAATATGAAACAATAAACGACAGACTCATAAAAATTACAATAGAAGCAAAACCGGAAAATTTCCATGTCATTCAAATATATATGCCCACAACAGATGCCCCAGATGAAGACATTGATGAAATATATAACAACATAGAAAACATACTGAAGAAGATACCACAAAAAGAGCCAGTATATATTATTGGAGACTTTAACGCCAAAGTGGGAAAAACGGATAATGAACCACATTTAAGAGGTATTGTTGGGTCATTTGGCTTGGGCATTAGAAACAACAGAGGAGAACGTCTTCTACAGTTTGTCAGTGAAAATAATTTAGTGATAACAAATACCCTTTATAAACACCACCAAGAAGGCTCTCAACATGGACTAGTCCAAATAAAGAACACAAAAATCAAATCGATTACATACTCGTGCGGAAAAGATGGAAAACCTCAATAACAAATGTAAAAGCTATGCCTGAAGCATATTGTGGATCAGATCATAAACTACTAAAAATGAACTGCAGGCTCAGACTACACACAACTAGAAAAATACATCAGACAAAACAGATAAGGGTAAGTAATGCAGAAGAATTCCAGATGAAACTGATAAGCAAAGAAAAACCACAAGTATTAGAAGACACAAATAAAACGTGGAATGGAATAAAAAGCTGGATATATTCAGTGGAAAAAGAGTGCACATCGCGTAAAACCCAAAAGAACAAACATTGGATGTCAGGGGAAGCACTAGAGTTAGTGGAAAAAAGAAGAGCTATGCTACAACATATCTCAAAAACAGGAAGCAACACTCAAGAAATAGCGGAGATAAACAGGAAAATAAAATGTATGTGCATCAGAGATAAAAACAACCATATAAATAACGTGTGTCAAGAACTGGAGCAACATGCAAACCGCCATGAAAGTCATGAACTATTTAAAAAAGTTAAATATTTAGCCCGAGAGTTCAAGCCACAACTTCAAGCCATTCAAGACTCTAATGGAGAAGTAAAAACCGACATAGAGAGCATCGCAGAGACCTGGAAAAATTACTGCTCAGAATTATACAAAGACACTTCAAAAGATGACGCATCAGTCTCAGAACATAAAAAACATGCAATCAGAGAGGCTGAACCAATCATTTTACGAGCAGAAGTAGAGAAGGCTCTTAACCAACTAAGAAACAAAAAAACTCCAGGAATCGATGGCATAACAGCGGAGACTCTAAAAGCAATAGGCGAAATTGGCGTAGATGTAATGCTGGATATGTGCAACATGATATGGATCACAGGTGAATGGCCTGATGAGTGGTGTGAATCAACCTTGATCCCTATCCATAAAAAAGGATCACTAACCATATGCAGCAATTACAGAACCGTTGCCCTTATCCCTCATGCAAGCAAAATCCTGCTACATATAATCAATGAACGGCTAAAGAACTTTCTACTTCCAGAGATAGCCGAAGAACAATGTGGATTTGTACCAGGAAAGGGAACGCGTGAGCAAATACTCAACACCAGACAGATAGTAGAAAAAGCGAGAGAACATAACATACCAATGTTGCTCTGTTTTGTAGATTACACAAAGGCTTTTGATTCAGTAAAATGGGATCCTCTCTGGAGTATAATGGAAAATATGGGAGTACCTAACCACCTAGTTAACCTAATAAGAAATCTGTATAATAAAAACTCAGCCAAAGTTAAAGTACATGGAATATATTCAAATGCATTCAAAACAGAGAAAGGAACTAGACAAGGTTGCATACTATCACCATTATTGTACAACATATATTCTGAATATATAATGAGAAAAGTACTAGATGAATGGGATGGAGGAATCACTATAGGAGGCAGAAAAATCAGTAACCTGCGATACGCAGATGACACACTTATACTAGCAGCGAATGAAGTCGAAATGATTACCATCATCGAACGGCTAAGCCGAATAAGTGAAGAATTCGGACTTCAAATCAACACCAGAAAAACAAAAATAATGATTGTAGACAGAGCAAATAATAATCTACCGCATATACGCCAAATAGGGATTTTCGAAGTAGTCGACAGATTTGTATACTTGGGCTCTCTGATAACCAACAATGGTGATTGTTCCTCAGAAATCAAACGTAGACTAGGAATGGCCCGAACCGCAACTGCTAAATTAATTAAAATATGGAAAGACCGAACAATAACAAGGAATACTAAGCTTAGGTTGGTCAATGCCCTTATTTTTCCATTGCTACATATGCAGCTGAAACATGGACTCTCAAAAAAATCGATAGGAGTAAGATCGAAGCCTTCGAAATGTGGGTATATAGAAGAATTCTACGCGTGTCCTGGACAGAACATAGAACCAACCTGTCAATTCTGGAAGAGCTTCATATAAAAGACAGGCTACTAAAAAAAGTAAACCAAGCATACCTAACTTACTTCGGCCACATAGCTAGAAGAACGGGCACCATGGAACTATTGGTAGTAGAAGGTAAGGTAGAAGGCCGAAGACCAAGAGGAAGATCTCCAATACGATGGGTGGACCAAATGAAGAGTTTGGTGGGAAAATCCCTACATGAAGCCGTCCATATGGCACAAGATCGCAGTCAATGGAGACAGCAGACTAATAATATTTAGGGTGTCACTACGCCCTGACAAGGGCTAAAGGATTGAGGAGGAGGAATACTGTCTAAGAATCTGATACTATTACGATGTTCTCACAATACTTAGTGACACCAAGTAAGTGCTTTCTGTATAGCAGCAGCCTCGGCTGTAAAATTAGAACAACATTCAGGAGTTCGATATCTCTCAACATAATTGCTGTTTGAAAGAAAAGCAAAACCAGCACTTTTAACAGTTTTTGATCCATCTGTATAAATTATTATTTATACAGATATAAATATATAATTGGCAAGTCTGAATAAGAGGGCGTTATAATGGTTGGTTTACCTATCAGCACTTCGAAGTCTTGTACGTAACAAATAAATTTTGGTAGCTGTAATATATAAGATTGAGAATTCGTATTGACAAAAGATTCTGCAAGCGAAATAATTATAATACCTTATACTAAGCAATATTTCAAGACTAAAAAAATGCGTAGGCTTAATCATTTCGTGCAATTATCTACCCATATTACGTCTATTAACTTTAACCAAAGTTATCAAAAACAATACTATAATAGCTTCCTTTCTAGTCCTTGTTAAAACACTGGCGAAATTTTCAGTTAGGCAACAGTTCCATTAATTAAAAAAAGTATGTTTAGGTCGGCGCACGCCTTCCAATCATAGTAATAAACTGGCGGTATTGCGTTCAGAAAAAAAAACCGAATTACTTGGTTAGTTGGCTTTGTTTGATCTAAAGGCTCAACCGCAACCGTAGGAGGTCTATTACTGCTAATAACCGCTTCCAGGATTACACTGATGTAGCCTAAAAAACGGATTTGAGTCTAATTTGATTAGTTTACCGTTTTTTGTTCGGTTGCTAACTGTATTAGAACATTAAATATATTTATAATAAATTATTAATATATAAGATTTTAACAAATCGTGAAAATTTAATAAATAAATTTAAATGGTAAATATAAATTATAATTAACTTATAATTTTATTTAATTAATTTATAGTTTTAATTAATAAGTAATTATAAATTGAATAATTTTGTAAATATAATTAAATATTGACTAAACTGATTAAAAAGTTATATAAAAATTCTTGTTCATTCTAATTGTTGATTTACATAATTAAAAAATATCAAAATTAACATAAAAGGCAAATATACGAGAAAATTAACTTAACAAAGCTCACTGTCTATGACTTTTGCTCAACAATTGTTTTCTGCTGAAAATAGCAAAGAGCAGGAATGCAACTTTCCTCAAAAGTAAAACATTATTTTTTGTCGGGTAAAGTTTGAAAAATTGGATATTGTTTCCAAAGCAAAACTAATTTTCTTTGTTCAAAGAGATAATTTCTGAAATTTTACTTTTATTATGATTTGTTGAACATTCCCTTCCGTTACCATAAGAACAGGAGATAAGAGTACCTTTTCTCCCGTTGATGTTTAACAGAAAGTGTTCTTTTCGAAAGAAGATCATAAAAAATGATTTTAGGTTCCTCCACCTACTCCAAGTAGTCCAAGTTATCTAATGAATCTGAATAATTTAGATGACTTAGACACATATGTCAACTACAATCCACTCAAAGGCGTGCTTGCTTATGAGTCATCAGGTGATGAATACGAAGCTGTACATAAAAAAGAAAGTCGATGGACAGTAAGACCTACACAGATTTGGTACCAGTAAGTGCTAATTATTTTGGAGCAGATATACAAACAGAACCAACTGTTTGACCATCAGAAGCTAAAGACACGAATATTTTGTAAATAAAATTAATCAAGGTAGTTATGAAAAAGAAAACTCTGTTGAGATATCCAGTACTTGTATTACAGCAATACTTGCATAAGTTTCTCTTACAAAAGCTGGAACTATACGAAAGAGAGAATCTGCTGCTTGCAGAAGCCACATTGATACCCCCTAACTATTTGTTCTGCATATGGTCTCAATTAGTCATACACAATATTTGACGGTATTTTATATGTCACAATTAGTAGCGTTATTGCCCGGTAGATTTTACGATGAAGCTGATCTCCTTTTTTATGTAGTGAGATAATTACTCCGGTACTCTAGTCTTGTGGCAGTTGTTTATTATTCCATATGTTCACTATTAGTTCGTGTATCGCATTCAATAGGGAGTCTCCGCCTTCCGTTATAATTTCTGCGCTAATGTCTAATCCAGGTGACTTGTTGTTTTTCAGTCTGGTAACTGCTTTTTGCATTTCAGCTACTTAAGGGGGGTTGTTTCTCTGGTATCCGTTTAATCCAGTATAATTCCATCATATAATGGATCTTTGTTTTTTTTTCAAGTACTTCTTTGAATAATTCTGTTCATTTTTGTAGTATTTCACTCTGTTGAGTCACTATATCTCCATATTTGTCTCTGCACATCATTGTTCTTGGTTTAAATTCTTTTCTACTTTTGTTAAGTTTTTGGTAGAATTTTCTGGTTTCTGATGGTTTATTTAGTTCTTCCATTTCTTGGAGTTTTTTTCTATGCTTTCTCTTTGCTTTCTGCGATCTATTTTCTTCTCTGCTCTTCGACACTCTTCATCGAACCACTGTCCTTTAGTTGATTTAAGCTTTTTTTCTAGACCCAGGGTCTCTTTGGCCGCGTCTTGTATGATACTTCTACACGTTTTTTATTTCATATTTCTCAATTTTAAATCTCTTTTCTTTTTTAATGTTTCAGATTCTGGCTCTTATTCTACGTTCCACGAGGTAGTGATCCGAGTCTGCATTTGCCCCTCGTCTGCTACATACATTTATTACGTCTCTAATTTACTGTTGTTTACTATAACCCTATTTGAAAATTTCGACGTTCCCTTATGAATATTTTTTCGCTGGAAGCATGTGCTGGCAATGACCATGTTAAGGGAAGTTGCTAGATTTATTAGTATGATGCCATTGTTATTGGATACCTTATAAAAGCTTTGCTTACCTATAGTTGGTAGGTATCGTTGTTCCTTTTCTATTTTTAAGTTGATATCACCATAAATAATTTTGATATCATTCTTTGGGCATGACTGGTATGCAGCTTTTAGTTCTTCATTGAATTTTTCTTTGACATCGTCTTTCTTTTCCTCTGTAGGAACATGCACATTTAATATGCTATAATTAGAAAATGTTCTTCTTAGTCTCAGGATGCACATTCTAGAGCTCATAGCATGAAAGTCTCTTACGAGGTGTTCAACCTTTTAATTTACAATGAAGCCATTACCTAGTGCATGGTCTTTAGCGTCGCAACTATAGAACATAATGTGTCTTTGTCAATAGTGCCACTTATGGTCCATCTTATTTCCTGCAGAGCTGTTATATCTATGTCATCTCTATTCAGCAGATTTTGGAGGGCTCCCGATCTGTAAAGGGATCGGATGTTCCATGTCGCGATTCTTAAATCATGTACCTTTTTCTCGTGGAGTCGTCGTCGTTTGATCAGTCCGGTTTCTTTTGCTCGAACATTTGAAAGATGTGTGTTTTATAGGATAAGGTTGTTAGCCTTATTCCTAACCCACATTTCGGAGGACCTTCCATGTCGGCCCCGACCCAACTTTCCACTGGGGTTGGTTACCCAATCTCCGGTAGGGTTGCTCAGGTTTGCGAGGGTCCACCCGTATGATTAAGTCACACTTCTTGGAGGTGAGGATAGGAATTAACTAGGAGTAGCTAGAGGTGTTATCAGGAAGCAACACCTTGTTGCGCATCACTACTCCTTTGAGCTCCAATTATAATATGGTATTTTCATTAAAATCAATTGTAGTTTAATCCGATATAAACATAACTCTTATATTAGACATGCCACAGAAAAGCAGTTTCAGATATATTTGGTGTTACAATTTTATTTATTCTTAATATCATTTAATTTCAACAATCCTAATAAGCTGCTTATAGGTGCGAATTGGTATTCTTTTGAACTAAAAAATTAGGGTTCGTCTATATTATTATTTACAATATTATGTTAATCTGATCTTTAAATATATAACAGTTCTCACATAAATTATTGTTTTTTGCTGTTTGAAATATATGGCGAAAAACAATCTTCATCTACGGATGAATCATACATAGGAAGTGGTCGTAAGTAGCATTTGAAATTGTAATAATCGTGTTTCAACATTTATTCAGGTTATAATATACTCCTACACTTGCCAGTATTACAAGAGGTTTCCCGATACGTACTCTAATTGAATTTTTAGGGTAATTGTCGGTTACGCGCTAGTGGGCAAACAGTGGTGGAGATGAAGAAGTTACTAAAGGTGAATTTATTTTTTTTTACTTATACGTAAATTTTTGTTTGTGTATGAAGAACACCCAAAGTTAAATCTTCTTCTTCTTCTTCAAGTGCCCTGTCCGTTGCGAACGTTGGCTATTAACATGGCAATTTTGATCTTGTTTGCGGCGCTTCTGAATAGTTCGACCGATGTGAGCCCGAACCACTTCCGCAGATTTTGGAGCCACGAGTGTCTTCTCCTGCCTGGCCCTCGCTTACTGTCTATTTTTCCCTGGACAATCAATTGTATCAGACGGTACTTATCGTGTCTCAATATGTGGCCTAGATATTCAAGCTTTCTTTGTTTAATTGTATTCACGATTTCTTTCTCCTTTCCGATTCTTTGGAGTACCTCTATGTTGGTGACATGTTCGGTCCAGGATATACGAAGAATGCGTCGGTACACCCACATTTCGAATGCTTCTAGTTTTCTCGTTAGCATCTCCGTCAGCGTCCAGGCCTCCACGCCATACAGCAAGATCGGAAAAATGTAGCATTTAACTATACGTAGTTTTAGGGGAAGAGACAAATCCTTGCTTATGAGGAGCTTTTTCATATTGCTAAATGCTGCTCTAGCTCGTTCTATTCTCGCCTTAATTTCTATGGTCTGTTCCCATTTTGCATTTACGTTGGTGCCAAGGTACACACAAGATTCTACATGGTCAATTAATATGTTACTTATCCGTAATTGTCGAGCAGGTTGTTGCTTTTTGCTTATCAGCATCCACTTTGTCTTCTTGAAGTTGAGGCTCAGGCCGTATTCCTCACTAACTGAATAAAGTCTTTCCATTACTTGTTGTAATTCGTCTATGGTACTGGCAAGGATCACCGTGTCGTCGGCGTATCTTATATTGTTCGTTAACTCGCCGTTTATTTTTATGCCCTCATTTGCATTTTCCATACATTTGTTAAATATTTCCTCGGAATACATATTGAATAGGAGTGGGGATAATATACACCCCTACGGACACCTCTTTTGATCTGCACGCTTTCAGTGAGTTCGTTGCCAATTTTTGCACTGGCTGTTTGACCCCAGTATAGGTTTGCCACAATTCGAATGTCCTTGTCGTCAATACCTGTCTTTCGCAGAATACCTATCAATTGTTCATGATTGACATTGTCAAATGCTTTTCTAAAATCTACAAAGCACAGATACACGTCTTTATCAACGTCTCTACACCGTTGTATAAGCACCTGGAGAGCGAAAATTGCTTCTCTAGTTCCAAGTGCTTTCCGAAAACCAAACTGCGATCTATCAATATTTGACTCACATTTATCATATATTCTTCTGTGAATGATCTTAGTGAACGCTTTAAATGCAAAGTTAAATGCATCTACTCAAATTACTCACATGATTCAACTGTGACACTGTGTCGTCTATTAATTAAGTTTTAGGCCTGTTTGAAATCTTTTCGTTATTCGAAATCTTGTTTGTAAACATATGAATTTATTCTATTTGGTTTTCGCCATCTAATTTATGTAGTTCAGACGGGACTTTATCAATACCTTGAGCCTCGTTTTTCTTTTTTGTCCCTATTGCTTGTTTTATCTGTTCTATCGTTGAAGGATATATATTTAAGGTTTTTAATATTATGCATGCCCATATGTTTTGCATTTTCTTGCGTCCCTAAAACACTTTGGAAATAGGTTTTTTAGGCTAATTTTATCTCTTTTGGATCACTAGTTATCTACTTTTCTTGATTTTTGCATAGATTTACTCATGGTTGTTATTCTTCTATTTTCTTTTCTCTGTTCGGCATATTTTATCGGCCCTCAACTTTGCATCTTCTTTCTCTGGTTTATCTTTCCTTATATTTCTTATGTTCTTGTGAATCGTAAAAGTGAAAGTTATCAGGTAAATTTTTAAATAGATAGATACGATAGCTAAGCAAGCAATAGGCCTAGTTATTTAGTGCCTGGATACTTGATACTTAATACTTGTTAATAAATTGATACTGTTATGATTTTGAACGATATATCTGTGGTACGTTTGGTTTCAAATCTGAAGTAAAATCGGTTTTCATTTGTTTTTGGTCCTCTTTTTGAGCTTCAGACTGGCTGTTTCATCTAATTTTATTAAGAATACCAAAATTTTTAAGTCCAAGCTGCATATTAATTGCCTATCATCATTATTTTATTAATATTATTTATTATTTTATTAAGTTGATTTAACCCGTATCAGGTTAGCTGGAAGCACACAGACTCCTAATACTTTAGAAGTTGTGACTTTTTTCTGGTGACATTAAATCTTGCACGAGGTCATGTACCTTTAAGTCACTCCTGGTAGTTATTCGTATTTAGTAAATATTCAGCTAGGGTACTGTGAACACGTTAAAATTAAAATTCAAAGTCTCAGTGACTTCATCTCGCCGTTAAGGTAAGTTTTGGTAACCTGTTATTTTTAGATGGATTTGGTAC